TTTCTTTCCTTTCTTTCCTTTCTTTCCTTCCTTTCATCTCATGTTAATCCTCACCCAAAGATATTTTTCCATTGATTTTTAGAGAGAGTGGAAGAGAGATGGAAAGACAGAGACAAATATCAATGTGAGAGAAATATCGATTAGTTGCCTCATGCATGCGCCCAGACCAGGACCTGGGCCAGGGAGGGACCTGCAACCAAGGTACATGACCTTCACTGGAATTGAACCCATGACCCATTCGTCTACAGGCTGATGCTCTATCCACTGAGCCAAACTGGCTAGAGCCCATAGTTCCCTTTTTAGAATCTCACAGTTCAGAGTGAAGCTACTGGTTGTGTAGGTTAGTTTGATGTTCTTTCTGTGCCTAGTTCTATAGTGTGATATAATTGCAGCAAGGAATATACCTGAACCTTTGGGGGACGTTCTTAGAAACAGCAGCCTCTTTGGTTGACATTGTTGTAATTTTCCTAATGCTTGCACCTTGGCAACCAGGAGACTCTCTAGGTCAATGGGACCAACTCATCTAGTGGCTGGACTGGGTCAGAAAGGCAAGGTGAAAGCCACCATCTTCTCTGCACCTCCACAGAGAATCTTTAATTCCACATACTCTTCCTTTCTCTCTCCTTACCAGATTATGCTAAGCCTTCGAATAAGCTTAGGCCAGTGATGGCGAACCTTTTGAGCTCAGCGTGTCAGCATTTTGAAAAACCCCAACTTAACTCTGGTGCCATGTCTCATATAGAAATTTTTTGATATTTGCAACCATAGTAAAACAAAGACTTATATTTTTGATATTTATTTTATATATTTAAATGCCACTTAACAAAGAAAAATCAACCAAAAAAATGAGTTCACGTGTCACCTCTGACATGCGTGTCATAGGTTCGCCATCACTGGCTTAGGCCTTCACCTAATGTAGGACCCATGACTTTATGGTTGTTAGATCTTGAAAAAGAATGACCATCCTGAACATCATCCAAGACCATTTTCTGTATGATTGAAGTGTGCTTTGCTCTTTATATTATGTATGAAGTGATTCTTGGTTTTAGGAGAGCAATATAGAACATGGACAAGATGCAAGGAAGGCATTATCACCTATTCTTGCCTTGTTCATGAAAATGTATCCATTCTCTCTCCCATCTACCTCTTGCATAGTATAATAAGTTGGATATTAACTACAACAGATGGATACAGCTCAACTCCATACTAGCTAACTAATGTACTTTCCCCAGATAAGATAGTAACTTGGCTGTAATGCATATGAGCCCCCCTCACCAGGCCCCCCAGCCCAGAGGACTTGTGTCAGGAAGAGGAGTCCCCATAACATCTGGCTTTGAAAACCAGTGAGGATTACAGCTGAGAGAAATGAAGGGCTGTGGAAGACCAAGATATTATTCTTAAAGGACTCAACCACAAGCTTGCTCACGCTGAGCTCCAGTGCAGAGGCAGCAGTTGGAGAAGTGCCCGGGTCATACAGGGAGAAATTTAATTGACTAACCCTAGGGTAGGGCTGGAGGGGCAGGGATGGGTGGTAAATCTCTCTGGGGATGGAAATTTTGGCAGATGCCATTGTTCCATTGTTATATTCTCCTTCCACCTGGCTGGTCCAGATCTGTCACTCTCCAATAACCTGGCTAACACCGTTTGCCCTGGCATGGCATTCCTCAGAGATCCTCCCCTGCCCAACCTGCTTGCCCTGGCAGAAGTTCATCCCAGGCATGCTCCTGGCCCTCCAAATAGGTGGAGGCCAGCCTTGGCTCACAGTGCAGTCTTTCCCAAGCACTCTCGAGCTGGCATAAGCAGCGACCAGCCTCGGCTCACATTGAAACTGCTACTAGGCAGTGCCAAGGCCAGCACGAGTGGCAGCCAGCGTCAGCTTGAATTGTGGCCTTTCCCAAGAGGCCACAAGGCTGGCACCTGCAGTGGCTGGCCTTGGCTTGTTTCCTAGCTCCCACCAAGCAGTTGCAGGCCAGTCTCAGCCTGCACTGGAGTCCCTCCCAAGAGGCTCCAGACCTGACATGTCCTTGGTTAATAGGGAAGTCTTTCATGACTCACTTTTGTACATTTGCTGAAGATAGTTGAGTATTGTGGTTAAGTGGAGTATTCTGGAGCCCAAATGTTTACTTATTGGTGACCTTGGATAAGTTCTTTGATCTTCCTATGCTCAATTTACGAACTCTGATCATGACAATGCCTACTTCATGGAGTCTGTATGAAGATTAAAGAGGGTATCACATGAAAAGTGCCTAGAAATTGGTTACTGGCCCTACATAATAGCTACTTTTATGGAAAAATATATGGACATAGCATTATTTTGCCTTGCTAAGTGAGGAAATGATCACCACAACCTTTATAAAAACAGAAATTCTACTTGAGCTGCCAACTTGTTTCAAAAAGCCATTAAAAGTGGGCAAATATTGCTGCTGTGTGATGGATAAATGGGAGTGTGTTTTATTATTGCTACTTAGCTGGTGTAGGATTGAAATTTTCCATGTAATCTTTTGTTTTTAAAGCAGCTTTGTCAATGATGCTTCCCACTAGAGACCTTGGAGGAAACTGTGTATCTTTCATTACTGACTCTTTATCTGCCTTGTGCTATGTGATTCCTGCCTAAATATATATCTTATTTCTGCTCACCTCTCTTATTTATTAAAATTGCATTAAACACTTAACTATTTTCTTATCTCCTTTACTTTTAATATCTTCCATGAGTGTATATTTTGGTTTTCTTCCTCAAACATTTGTAAGCACTGTGTATTGAACAAGCACTTAACCTGAAGTATGTTAGTGATGCCCAAATTAATGATATTGGGCAGAGGAACAAGGGAATTTCAACTTCCAAATGTTATACTTCCTTATTAGATTTTTGTCTTTGTGTATTTTGTTGTTGTTTTACTTTTATAACATTTTTAAAAGAAAAAATTTAAACTATGATTTATATAGTCACTATTTAAAGAATCATTATGATGAACAGGACTAAGACTGAAATAGACACAAAACAGACATTTAGACTTGGCCCCAAAGCCTTCTAAATTGACTCTCTTGATTTAAAATTACAATCTTTGCAAGTATTTTTTTCCTTTTTCTGTGTCTGTTTTGATTTGCAATTATTGGAGAACTTAAAAGCAAGAAAAAGATTGGTTCCCAATGCAATCTACAATTTTACATTGCTGATTGAATCCTGGGCACCTGTAATATTGAACTGCAGAGACCTACAGGGTATAAAATACAACTGTGTTCATGATTCTTAGTCATATTCGTCCTTTACTTGTAAGCAAAATGTCATAGCACTGTTAGCTATTAGTGCATTTATTATACCCAGAAATAAAGAATTGGTAGTGCTGAGCAAAATGTTTCCTTATTTTTTAAAAGATTTTTAATTGATTTTTAAAGGGAGAGGACAGGAGAGGAAGAGAGAAACGTCAATGCAACTGGGCATGTGCCTTGACCAGAACGAACCTGGCAACCGTTCCCGGCACGAGATAATGCCCAACCAACTGGACCACACCAGCCAGGGCAGAATACTTCTCTATTGCTCTCACTAGAGGAATTTAACTTCGGTATCTCTACCTGCAGGCAACATGAAGGACCGGCTAGCAGAACTTCTGGAGTTAACCAAGCAGTATGACCAGCAGCTCTCCGACGGGGACGATGAATTGGACTCGCCCTACGAGGACTTCGTGTTCGAGACAGACCACATCCTGGAGTCCTTGTACCGAGACATCAAGGGCCTTCAGGATGAAAACCAGCAGTTGATGATCGACGTGAAGCGGCTGGGAAAGCAGAACGCCCGCTTCCTCACGTCCATGCGGCGTCTCAGCAGCATCAAGCGCGACACCAATTCAATCGCCAAGGACATCAAGGCCCGCGGTGAGAGCATCCACCGCAAGCTGCGCGCCATGAAGGTGCTGAGCGAGGCGGCCGAGGCCCAGCACGGACCCAACTCGGCGGTGGCGCGCATCTCCCGCGCGCAGTACAGCGCGCTCACCCGCACCTTCCAGCGCGCCATGCACGAGTACAACCAGGCCGAGATGAAGCAGCGTGACAACTGCAAGATCCGCATCCAGCGCCAGCTGGAGATCATGGGCAAGGACGTGTCAGGCGAGCAGATCGAGGACATGTTCGAGCAGGGCAAATGGGACGTGTTCTCAGAGAACCTGCTGGCCGACGTGAAGGGAGCGAGGGCGGCCCTCAACGAGATCGAGAGCCGCCACCGCGAGCTGCTGAAGCTGGAGAGCCGCATCCGTGATGTGCACGAGCTTTTCCTGCAGATGGCGGTGCTGGTGGAGGAGCAGGCCGACACCCTGAACGTCATCGAGCTCAACGTGGAGAAGACCGTGGACTACACTGGCCAGGCCAAGGCGCAAGTGCGCAAGACCTTGCAGTACAAGAAGAAGAACCCCTGCCGGACCATCTGCTGCTTCTGCTGCCCCTGCGTCAACTAGCAGGCTGGCCTGGGACCCCGCACCCCCTCTCAACGGGAATGGGTTGGGAAGCGCACTGGGAAAGATTTGGGGGCTCCCTTCACTGGGGCGAGTTGTCCCAACTCGTACGGACCTCAGTTTTTAGAGAAAGAAGAAACCTGAGGTCCAAAAATTCCAACCCAGCCCATGCTTGGGACTATAGTTGATGCCTTCCGATGTTTCTGCAGTAAGTACAGAGATACCCTGAAGTTGTGTGAGGTCGTTATATGGCAAATTGCATCCTTGCCCTCTTAACAGAAGCCACATAAAGAACTGACTAGCGAACTGGAGGGTACATGTCCCAGGCATGTTTCCTAGTGAAATTCTAGGAGGAAGTCAATTCCGCATTGGCTAATAGTATGAACTCATCAGAACAAATTCATACCCTCTCCTGAAAGTACCTTGGTTCTGTTCAATTTCACGTCTTTCATTTCCACTCCTCATCTGGTTTATGCTGTGTGATTCCTGTCTAGAAGTATACCTATTTCCTTCCTGCTCACCTCCATACTTATTAAAATCACATTTAACACTCACTATTTTCTTATCTCTTTACTTTTAATATCTTCCATCAGAATATAGTTGGGATTTTTTCCCAAAATATTTTTAAGCACTGAGTATTGAACAAGCCCTGAAATTGATGTGTGTATCAGTCACATTTTATATATTTTTCATAATTAAAAATAATTTAAAATTTATCTTTTTTTACTTGATTGTTACAAATGCACATATACATATGTAAATTGTGAAGTACTAATATTCACTAACACATGTACATAATGACTAATTGGTTTTCATTTTACTTTTGTAAATATAAACTATAAATATCAGAAAAAACACTTTTACTGGTTATTGGTGTTGGTTGTCTTGTTTTGAGTTTATCTCATTCCCATCTGCATATCCAGTCCAATTTGGGCAGGAACTTTATTTTGAACAACTCTGTGTCAGTTATAGTGATAAAGACAGATGTCAACAGCTGAAAATAAATCCAGAACTAGATAATAAAATAAATTTCTTGGAAATATTACTTTTGTTTTACTGTGGACCATTCCTTTCATGCATTTAAATGGAGTAATTTAAATTAAAATATTTCTTTTTAAGTTAGTTTAATAAACATTACATTATCATTTTCCCTTTTATGTATTTGTACCTTAGTTTACTTTCTCAATTATTGTGTTGAAAATTCTTGTAGCTTCTTAAAGTTGCAACATCTGGATAGAACTCTGAATAGCGAAGAAAAAAATGAAAAAGCATTCATATGGGAGTGTGTCTTCCTTTCTCTCCTAAGTTACTTACAACAGTTTAGCAAAATCATCATGTTTTAAGGATTTGCTTTCATTTGCAAACTTTGGAATGTCCTTAAACCCACATTCACCGTGCTTCCGGTCTTCCTCCTGAGTCAACTCTGAACTCTTTCTACTCATTATTTAATAAATGAGAATTTATTCAGCTGCCATAATTCTCAGGTCCTTCAGACAGGGACATTTTAAAAGGAGTAGAACGAAGAATGTGTGAACTCTGTAACCCACTGACTAAACTGCTTACGACCGTGAAAATCTACCCCTGCACCTAATTTTAATTTCATGCTTAAATATGAGAATTGTGGAAACCAAGTCCCACCAGGCTCTTCTCAGATTTCTCACAATTTCTCAGCTAACTCCAGGGATGTTTCACCTGTGGCCTAACTTGGTCGAATTCCCTTTCCCTAAAAAATAAGTCTTCTTCATACAGCTCCATTGTCTTTCGTGGAAGAGAAGAGATGTGGAGAATACAGACCACCAGTTAGTTTGCACAAGAGAGAATAATTCATGCATTTGACTTGTTTAAACCCATAAAGCATTTTCTTTGCTTAGAACCATTCATAAAAATAAAGGCGTTTGCAGGCTCCATGTACTTTTGAGTTCCCCATATTTCACATTGAAGAATTGGGTAAAAACTGCACTTTAATATACTAAGAGATTAGTTACCTCTTGCCTAGGAAAAGGTAAGAATTTTTCTTTCTGCTTTTTAGTAACCATCTGGGTGTGACAGTGGCTAAGAGCCCAGATTCAGGACCCCACTCACTGTCTCTGCCTCATGTTAGCTGTATGACTTGGCATGCTACTTAGCCTCTGTGCCTCAGTTTCCTCATCTGTAAAATTGACACACCGTACCTCGTAGAGTTGTTTGAAGAAATAAAATGATTAAATATGTAAAAGCACTTAGAAAGCACCTGGCATATGCTACGTGCTATGTTTATTATTGTTATTAAATAATTTTCTCGTGGACTTGAGTAAATAAATAGTTATTAGCGTCTGAGGAAAAATAAACACTTATTCTTCTGTTAAGTCTTTCAAAAAATGGAAAAAGGAAACCAAGACCCTATCTTCTTTTACTACCAGGGCATTTTTTTTCTACAATGAAAAAACTATTTTTCACGGTGGCATTTCTATTCCTTCTTATATCCATACATGTCCTGGAAAAGAAATTCAATGTTCCATTCAAAAAAGTGAAGCAGAAAGCAGCTGTTCTGCTCAATTTGGCAAGTGCTTCCCCCCGAGTCTTCCCAAGCTGTGAGTCCCAAAGCCCCAGAAGGAGTTCAGCTGTGGAGGCCCATCACAATAGATCAAGGGGAAGGGACCTGGTGGCTTTTCCCACATCCTGCCCTGTTTTCCCTGGAGCCCTTCTTGGCTCTGACTGCCAGGCCAAGCAGTGGGTAAAATGCTGGCTTTCTGTGCAGGAAAGGATCTTCCAGCGCCACCCAGAGATGCCGTTTGTTGGTTCCCCCAATCTTGTGACGCTCTGAAGAGTGACTTTGGGCAAAAAGACTTTGTGGTAAATCTGCAAAATTCATACACTAATGTCATTTCATGTACAAAATGAAGGAACCCACCACAAAGAACAATAGCGCCTTCAGGGGGTGAAGGTGGAAATCTTTTAAAGCTATTTTAACATAGGCCACAACTACTTCCAACTGACCAAATGCCGCACTTTCCAGCCACAACCATAGGTTATAGGTGGTGACAACTCCAGAAACATCAGAGATAGGAGTGGTGCTCCCCTAGGAATCAGTATTCAGCATAATCTGAAGGACAGTTTTGTTTTTTTTAAATATGTTTTTATTGATTTTTAGAGAGAGGAGAAGGGAGAGGGATAGATGGAAACATCGATAAGAAAGAAACATCATCAGTCCGCTGCTTCCTGCATGCCCCCTACTGGGGATGGCGCCGCAACTCCGCAACTCCGGCCTGTGCTCTGACCAGGAATTGAACTGTTGACCTCTTGGTTCCTGGGTTGATGCTCAACCACTGAGCCACACAGGCTGGGCTGAATTACAGTTTGTTTTTTTAAATATATTTTTATTGATTTCAGAGAGGAAGGGAGAGGGAGAGAGAGAGAGATGAAAACATTAATGATGAGAGAGAATCATTGATCGGCTGGCTTCTGCATGCCCCCTACTGGGGATTGTGCCCGCAACCCTGGCATGTGCCCTTGACTGGAATCGAACCTGGGACCCTTCAGTCAGCAGGCTGATGCTCCACTGAGCCACACAGGCTGGGCTGAATTACAGTTTTTTTAAAAGCCGATCAATAATTTTAAAATGTTTGAACTGAGACATCATGGGAGGAAGTTTCTGTCCTTTCAAGGTAATGACTTGGAGAAAGAGTAGTGTTTTTGTACTAATGCTTTATGTTTACTTAAAAACAGTCCCAATGCTTTATGGTTAAAAGTCAGTTAAATGTCATATGCAAATATTTTTCAGGCTCTACAATATAAAGTTCCTATCTTGACAGGAAACTACTAAAGATTGTGGATAGCTTAAAAATAATAAAATAGGGTGTCTATAGTCTTAGACTTTATGTATTAATCCTATCATTCTATTTGCTATTATCAGACATAATTTCTACTCCTCTCTTTGAAATATGCCAAGTATCTCTATCTGCAGAATTCAATTCCCTCATTTGTAATCAAGAGGATAGTTTGAAACATCCAGTAGTAATCAGAGTAACAGTGGACTTAGTTTTGATAGCATAATTGAAAATCATTGCAATTAATGCAATGGGGCTATTAGAAATGGAAAGTGAATAGGATCGAGAATGTAACTTCACCAACACATAACTATTGAGCATCTTTATTACCAACATGTGTTATAAAGAATAGACAAGGTATTCTTTTGTTGTAAAGATTTTACATTGCTAGCAAGAAAGAAGGCTTTCTGAATTGATGATCTGGGTGATACTACACAGGATGCTTTAAAACCAGTGATATCCTGACAAATGAGGAGTGAGAGACAAGTCCCATCATTACCATTTTTTTAATTCCTGGTGTTTATTTTAAAAGTATTCTTTAGGGACTCTTTCCCCCTCCCCACGTGGGAGTCTGTGCTTGTTCTTCAATAAATTTCCATCTTTGCTAAAAAAAAAAAGTATTCTTTATACCCTTTTTAATTGCAAGTATTCTTAGCTACTTGGACCTCTCTCTCTCTCTCTCTCTCTCTCTCTCTCTCTACTAAAAAAAATGTACATTTTATGGTTCTATAGCCATTTCTTTAGACATATTTCTCCCTTTATACCCCCGTATCCCATAATATTTTATAGTGGGTAAAAATAACAGAGCATGCAATATATATATATGTCCTTATTTCTATTTTCCAATAGGCTCAGTTACTAGTATTTGCACATGCCCAGTTTAGCTATCCCAAACAGAAAAGCACTTGAAGCTGTGTAATAGGAACATACGTGTAATGCATGTGTTCCTATGTGTCTGTGCCTAGATCTTTATGTTTTTCATGAATGTGGTCTCCAGTTATGTGTCCCTTTTGCCTGATACCTCCTGGATACTTAGGTTACTCATACTAGGGGATTAGTTCTAAGCACCATAAATCTGTTATGGAAGAAGGTAGTGAAAGAAGAAAAGAAGGAATGAGTAAGTACCCACACACACCAAAGCTCCCTGGCTGAGGCAGAGCAGTGCCTACATTTTCTAAGTCTTCTTGGCGATGGATGATACCTCATATTTGTTCTACACTTATTCCCCACCCCCTCAGTTTCTTTGTTTTGTTTGCCAAGTGTGTTGAATTTTCACTATTTGCATGTTCCTGTTTGTCTAAATTATGTTTAACTGTTTGCTCTGACCCTACATCCTGACTGCTGTTCATCTGCGAGTTTTCCTGGCTGTCTTTCACCCTGACCTTCAACTTATGCACACGTTGGGCACTAATCTGAGTCTGACCACGCTTTGCTCGATAGTTGTCCCAGTCCACAGCAGATAGATATGTCACTCAACCAACAGAATACCCATTGGTATAAACACTTTCCAGTTTACAGAGTGCTTTGATCTCATTTTTTTTTTCATGACAAGCCTGTGAAGTGATATTGCCATCTCATTTTTCGAAGAGGTGGAAACTAAGAACTCAGTCCTCTAACATTTGACAATAGTTATGTACTTCTGTGTGTCTGTTTCTTACTCTCACATTACTAAGCTTCCTCTCTAGGAATGTTCATGTCAACATCAATCTAGAAGCATAAATTGCATGAAGAGACAGAGAATGTACATTTTCTTTGACTAATCTCTGTAACATTAATAAAACATGTTCTTTTCTTGAACTTCTGACTCTACATTCCTCACCTCCCCCTACCTTTAGCTCTTCCTCCTCAGTCTTCTTTGCAGATTACTCTCCCTCTTCCCAGTCCTCACTGCTGAGTTTGCATTCAAGGACTTTTCTCAGCCTACCGGATTTCCCCAGGCTACTCCTCTCACTCCCAGAGTTTCAAATACCGCTTATGCTGATGGCTTCCAGATCGGTATCTCCAACCCTGACTTCTCAGCTGAGACTTGGATCTGTACCTCCCACTGTCTATCAAACAACTGCAACTAAATGTCCCACCAGCACTTTTATTTTTTTTTATTTTTTTTTAATATATTTTATTGATTTTTTACAGAGAGGAAGGGAGAGAGATAGAGAGTTAGAAACATCGATGAAAGAGAAACATCGATCAGCTGCCTCCTGCACATCTCCTACTGGGGATGTGCCCGCAACCCAGGTAC